GTAGGCGATTTTTTAAAAATAGAATCTGGAAAATACGCAAGAAATAGATGATCCCGTGTCAATAAGGGCTGAAAATGATTTTCTGACGAAGAGTTCTAAGCCTGTTTGTTCTGAAGTCTATAGGTATGTGGGCGTGCAGCTTTTGTCCTGCTCAATTAAAATATCGAAATAACCATGAAAATAAAATTCGTTGAATTCGAGGAAGAGAGTGTTACGTTTCGTACGGACTGACTAAGGTAGACTTAAGGGAAGATATACCCTCATTAATTAGAACGGATCATATGAATTCCGAAGAAAAAAATAAAATTATTGGATTATCGAAAGAATAGCCTGAAGTTATTAAAAGGGAAAATGATAAATTAACATCGACAGGTTTATTAAAACATAAAATATTAACTACTGATAAAAAACCAATTTATTCACGAAATTAGAGATACTCACAAGTGTATCGTAAAGATGTACAAATAGAAAAAGATAAATTATTAAAAAACAAGTTAATTCAACATGTTAATTGAACCCGACATACTTACAAATGGGCTTTTTATCAGTTTTTTTTTTTTTTTAAATCGTCATTCAAGAATTTTATCGTATCTGGTTCTACAAAACTGGCCAAGGATTGGCTAATTCCTTTATTAAAAGTGATTAAATTGGTTTGAATTGTCCATTCAATATACGTGCATGCTTGGTTGGATCTCTTCAATACAATGTCCTCTTCGTATGGATCTTGATGGGTTGACACCGGAGTTGGGGGACAATGGTACATTTTGTTCTTAGTACAAATATCTTTTGGAAGAATAATTTCATTACTCGGATCGGAGTCTGCGGAATAATTGTTATAAATTTGTTATGACATTTACTTGGGACGGGTTGTATATTAAATAATTCAAAACCAATTGAACAAATTGTGAGTTGCACAAAATAGACTATAATTAATAGACTTCGATTTTACAGTGTAATTTTAACATATTTTAGGCATATTTTATTACCATAATAATTTTCCAACTTTTTAAATTCTACGTGTAATGATGGAAGGATGAACAGTCCCAACTTTAAAAAAATAACTCAATTTTCTATTTCTTGTAAAGTATTAAAAATTAGATTATATAATATTTGTAGTTGATATAATGTGTTTCTGATTTCGATAATTTCTACATTTTTCTTAGATATTTGCCTATTAAATTAATTTTCATTTCCAACTCTTCATCGTTTACTTGGAGTGTTCGAATAGTTTCATTAAAATCTTTTATTTTATCATTTTCTGAATACCATGAATTTTTATATTCTTTTCATTAGGTTTTACATGGTCCATGAATATGTTAAAGGTTTCTCCATCTTATCTATCGAGATTTCCAGTTATACCCTTAATTAGGCTGTCAATCCCGTTAAAAAGGCCCCTTTTATTTCCATTCGTTACGTGGGCTAATAAATGATTAATTTTATCTTATATGATTGTTTTAGGCTGGTTGAGAAAAGTAAAATTGGGTATGGTTTATTCTTTGATTGAATTATTTTGTTTGATAAAATCATATAGTCAGCGACATTGACAATTTAATATTTCAAATTCAAAAAATGTTGGAAATGTATCTTTTTCCGTGCGTGGAAATGTGCGGGTATTATTTCAGCAGTTTTATAATGATACTATGTCAATTTTTTCGGGTTTGTATTTTATTTGTGTTTTTCTTTGTTTTGTTTTGTACATAGACCTTTTTTGAGATGTAAGGTAATTCCTCTCTGTTGGCATTTATACGTCTTAGTACTTTGTCTTTATTTTCATTTATAGATTCTTTAATTTTAGGGAACAGCAGTTTGGTTCGTTCTTTATGGTTTTCAATGTAGTTATTAATTAAATGATTTTCTATCTCATTTTGAAAGGAGTGTGTTCTATTTCAAGATGACCATAAACAATCTCGAATGGGGTGCGTTTTGTGACTGAACGCCTTGTGTTATTGTATGATAAATTGGCGTATTTTACCTTTGTGTGTATAGAGACTGATTTAAATTTATCTTGACTATTGAAAATACGTTGTTCTACTTCTCCAGGTAGCTGGTTCTTTTTATCTTCGGCGATTTTCAAGACATTTCCTCCTGGATGAGACGAATGGTGCAGCAGGAATTCTTTCGGTCTTCACTTGACAAGAATTTTCTTCGAACTGCGATCGAAACCACCGATGTGCACTCTTAAAGATCCGTTGGGCCACATGAACGCAATTGCGGGCAAATGGTCATGGCTTTTAGCTTTTAAACTTTAGCACTAGCGGGCCCTGTTCGGGCGCCAATGAAGTAATCACTCGAGAAACAGAAAAAAACTAACTCACGTTTGCACCGACAGAGTGAGGGGCAGGGGACTATCGCGCAAGTATTATTATTTATTATTTATTTTATTATTATACAATACTTTATTAGAATTGATACACACAAAAAATAGAAACACTGATACAAAGTATAATAAGCATGGCTACGAATCGACTGCTGAGTTCACTGCATAATAAATCTTACAATTACAGAAATATTAAAACAAAAGAAATTCGAAGAGAAAATTTACATATAGCCGGTGTATGAATTGAAATAAATGGAAATGTGAGAAAAAAGAAGAAAACAAAAATAATTAAGAACAAATTGTCTCTTTCGAACTGATAGAGTACTAAAAAACGGCAGTAAAAGTAAAAGTATATGTACAGGGACGACAATTATTGCACATCTGAAAGACACTCGTATCTCACCCTCCAGGCGTGCCGAGCAAAGGAAATTAACGGTAAAGAGGATACTTGGTTAGAAAGACATTCCAGTATTTCCTAAGGTCCTAGGAAAGGCTCGGTTTATATGACAGTAGGTGTTCATTCAAAAATTCCTTATACAAGTAGAACCTCTCTGTGCTTTTCGCCTTATTCACAGCTTCTTCTCGATGAACTTCGTTTATTTTGTAAGGAAGCACTAAAAGGTCCGAGAGATTGTCCCGAACACCGGAGTTTTGCCAGGGGCATGAGTATTTCTGGGCTAGAGAAGCCCATTGATTATACCAGGAGATATTCTTTCTAGTTATCTGTAGAGCGATTATTTCAGGCAGTCGATCATATGGGAGGCTCAGTATCTTTGACATACATTTTAGGTGGAGGGAAAAGGTATACGAGAATAGAGGAGGCAAACAGGATTCTAATTTGGGGGGAAAGATGGTAAGCTGAAAAGTTTTTTAACAAAAAAAATGCTGATTTAAGATGAGAAAAAACCTAAAACCCTTCCAACATTTCGGAGAGAGGAATTCCGATTTTCGCGAACATACAGTAAAATAAGATGTACGTCGATCGACGTGCAGATAATCTACGTAGGGATCCAATCTTCGTAGAGGTCATTAGACGGGTCAAAAAAAAGACTAAATGCTGGGTTCACCGAGATTTCGGCAATTTATAGTAATTAGTATGAAAAACTATTGTAGAAGTGATTGGGATTATGGCTATGGAGCACATGCCCAGCCTAATACTTTTTAATAAATTTCACATAATATTTAAAGTTGGCATTGAAACTAATAGATTATGACAAATTCAAAAATATGTTGCTAAAAAAAACCATATAACTAAAGTCCACAAGTCGGACGACTTCTTCTATGTTCTGACTAGCAATTTCTTTCAGGTGCTTTTGTGATCACTCGAATATTTACAAAAATTTCTTTTTTTATTTAAACAAATTACAGCTATTTACAGAACTATTTACACTGGAATAAAAATAAAATTCGAATGGGGTGCGTTTTGTGGACTGAATGCCTTGTGTTATTGTATGATAAAACGGCGTATTTTACCTTTCAGTGTATAGAGTCTGATTTAAATTTATCTTGACTATTGAAAATACGTATATGTTCTAAAAGTGTACTGTGGAATCATTCTACAGTTCCATTAGATTCTGGGTGTTCAGTTGAAAGAAAATGAAGGTTTATTTTATACAATTCTGAAATTTCTTTATATAAGGCATTATTGAATCCAAGCCCGTTGTCTTCTACAATTTGTGTAGGTAGTGGGTGATGTGTTATAAAATCGATTATTTTGTCCACGATTTCGATTTCTTTGCTCGACTTTAGTATATAAGCTTGGGCATATTTTCAAATGAATCAATTATGGTTAAAAACTCTACTTTATCTAGTATAATTGGGTCCATGTGTCCGATTTCAAACGGTTTGCTAGGTGTAGGGGTTTTATTGAAAGTTAATTTTAATGGCGTTCTGGCCGTATTTAGCCAACAGGCAAGTTTCGCAATGAATTTTTTTGATTTGGCCAATAGTATAGTTCTCTGCTTAAGATATTTCGCTCCCTCCCCCCATAAAATTAGTACCACAATCTTAAAATACATTAGAAGATAAGCCACGCCTTGTAATAAATCTAACAAAAGCTGCGAAGAAAGCATCGGTTGACAACGACAACCCAGTTTCTTAAGTATTATGAAATTGAGGGATCTGGGATCGCCTCCCTCACTCATTCACCTATTTATGGAGATACTGGGACCGTCTCGCACTTCATACACCTGTACTGCTGGTTTCCTTTATATATCGAATCGCTGCACGAATCCTTTCGTGAATGTCATGTTTTTGAGTAATGAGTAACAATCCCAGACACCTCCATTTCATACTACTAGTATTGAGTTTGTCTGGTTGATTGTTCTCCACACTTCCTTCATGGTCCTCCTAATAAATAAGGTGGCGTGATTTTCCGGCTTCACTTTCATCGAGGATTGACAATATTGGCCCGACTTGATTCTCGCAATTTGGATTTTGCGTTGTTTCTGAAAAATTGAGGAGGGAATAGGAGAAAGGGGAAGGGAGGATGAAAAGGGAAGTTTAAGAGGAAAAGAGGTGAAACATACTGAAATAAAATGATTAAAGGAAGTGAGAGATCACTCGTCCTCATGTGAATAAAAGTTTTCCTCTTTTACGACGGTCAGAGAAAGCGTGGGCCTATTCTACCTCGGGACCCACACAGATGATAGAGCCTTGTTAAAAATACAACTAAAGTTGAAGAGGAAAAAAATAAGGCACTAGGCGAGTTATTTTTATTTTAGTTCATATTTAAATTGTGCAATTGCGGAGTCTCATCATTTTGCGCATCAAATTGAGCAGTTCCACTCGTAGTTCTTTTCGCATTCTGTCTCCCATATGGGCCACTTGCTGAACTGAAATTGTTCGTAGATTTTCTTTGCGCATTCGAACGCCGCTTCGAGGCCACCATCAGTCTGAATCATGTCTGTACATTTGTAAACAATAATTCTTTCGAAGCATGTTTTCGGGTTAATATTTACCCCTGCAAGGAATTCCACACAATTTGTAAGTACCGCAGAATTCGTCTGATATCTAAACGGATAAAATGAATTTAAAATTTTTTATAGCGTATTAAAACAATACAAGATAAACACCGCGAAAATTCCGAAGTATGAATACTCGGAGACGGTGCGTTCGTGCGAAAAGTCTGTACGGATTAAAGATGCATCTTCTGCTATGCAAACCCCTTAAACAAATCAAAACCATATCAATGCATGGTGACGATGAAACGACATCATTAAATATTAAACAATGTACGTCTGCGTGTTTGAAAAATTTCCAGGCGGAACGTATTTCAAAAATTGGTGGATACCGATCATTGGTCTGTCGCTTAAGTGGTCTGTCGACATTTCGTCATATTCATTGTCAGGTCTGAATGATTTCTTACGAGTAATGGTAATAACCGAACTGGCTTGTTAGGTAATTTATTCCGATATGCATTCCGTGGACAGACACGTTAAACATGGCGAAATAACGAAACTGAGCGAGGATTAATAAAACTAAAATCGATAAACGGCCAAATTCCAGGTTGATCACCCTCCAGACAACATGAAAAAATTCGCACAATTCATATTTCGGGAAGTTCATGTCTTGTAATTGTATTGTTTTAGAATATAATATGTATATAGGCATATCAAGTCGAGTAAATATGGATACGTTATATAAATCAAGGAAATGTAGAAAAACTTTAATCTAAACTTACAATCTTTTACGTTTCCTGGCATATTGTGCTATTTCACCTCCACCGCAAATTCACATTCCCTGAACATTCTCGATTCCGCTATTCCAGCGAAAGCGGCAAAAATAAGAACACATTTTATGGCGTCCCTAGAATGAATCAGTTTAAAATTGAGTAGATATCTAAATAAATTTAGTTACTTACATGGCCTTATGGATGAAATCACTTTAATCGGCTCCGCCATAACCCGTTCCTTTTATACACCGTTTTTTGTGACACACAAAACAAATTGTTTACACCATCGGACGGACGTATTTGTATTTCCACCTTCCTGTTTACCCTTCAAACAAATTTGAAATGGAATTTTTTTCATTCACAATCTTAACTGTTCACTATGGGCCATATAAAAGTAAAGTAAATAGGTTTTGAGAAGGAATGCAGCCCGCGTTCTTCCCGATATCAACATTATCTGGCCATTTTAAATGAACAACAGCTAAGCTTAAAACCACAAATTTTACTGTTATTATTCGAAAATTCTAATTACATTATATTTAGCAGTTAAAGCACTAAAACTTCTGGGATTTACAATTCGTCTTTCTAAATATTGTCTACCTAGTGTACCACAGCCAGGTTTTGATAACATGTCAAACAAATATTTTCTTTAGGCCCGTTTTCCACTTACAATATCTTTTATTTGGTATGAAAAATTGGAGAAAGAAGAAACGTCATTACCTTCCCGAAACTGGCTACTTTATTTTTTGAAATATAAACATTTTTTCTTCTACCGTTCTCAAATGTTTGAACCGATTTTTCTTTACCTTTTAAAAGTTTCCCTTTTGTTCAGGATAAGACTGTACTATTAAAAAATATTGAAATTTTTTTTTATTTTCTCTTTTCTCAAATGACAGAGCCTTGCAACTTTAAACGACCTATGCAGAGGAAATAAATAAATTAATAAGCTTACTTCCAGTGGATGGTCTATTGGATTGGAGGTCTATGTGATACCTGACAGTTCTGCTCCGAATGTCCGAATATTGAAAAATTAACTCTCTTTTTTTTCTTCTTCTTTTAAATAGTAATCTTGGATTGAAATGGATTTAAGGTTTAGTGACCGGGGCGACTGGTGTTGTTTTGGGACCTAACGAGCGCCTAGGACACTCTCTCTCTCTCTTTCTCTTTCTTTCTTATTTGTTAACTAGTATAATTTAGTAATCAGATTTCAATCTAGTCACAGAATGTGGAGGTGGTATGGTTGTTATTTGAGTTTCAGAGTTTGGCTTCTTACTGCCATTATCCAATGTAAGTATGACCATGGGAGCTTTGCCAGCAAGTAGCTTTTATCTTTTAAATCAAAATTTAACTCCCGATATAAAGGGTATTTTTTTCCTTACTCCCTCTAGAATTTCTCGGCGCCAATTTTGAATAATCTTAAAGAAGCTCACCCATTCTTTAATATTATTTAATTGGGTAAGTACTGTGGTGTCCACTGTGGCCGCCATTACAAGAATATCTTTGAACCATGATAATTTCTTAGCTATGACTTCCATAACTACTATTTTTGGGTATCTATGTTCGGGCACATTCAGTACCTTTATAATGTAATCGTGGTGGAGTTGGAGTGTATGGTGGAACATTAAATTACGATGGGTCTCCATGTAGAAAAATTTGAAGGGGTGCTTATGGTAATTTAAACAGCTTCTTTATAAAGTATTTGTGAAATACCTCTACCTCCCTACATTCTTTCTCTCCCCATACCTGTGCACCATAGCAGACTATGGATCTGAAGACTGTATCAAACACTCTAAACTTGGCTTCAATACCAATATGCTCCTGCATCATGACCGTCCAGATAGCTCCCAACCCTTGCTTGGCTTTATTCACTTTATTTACAAAGTTATTCTTTAATGAGAGTTGTGAGGTTATATTCACTCCAAGGTAGATGTATTCGTTTACCACCTCAATATCATTTCCTCCCATAGACCATTTCTCACTTCTGGCCGGTCTTCCTACATTCCTAAATATCACGGTTTTGGATTTTCTTAGATTCAATTGTAAATCCCAAATATCCATATAATCTTTGAACCGGTTTATCATTCTCTGCAGAGAGTTGGGACACTAAGAGGACAATCGTCTGCATAAGCAAGAACATTAATCTTCTTTTTTCCAACTTGTTCTCCACCACCATCCAGAAATTCTTCTAAGTCATTTAGGGAGAGTGAGAATAGCAGTGGCTCAGTAGATATCTCTGCTTTACACCAGTTGTTATTTCAAAATTCGCGCTTCTACCTTCCCTACACCACACCGAACCCATCGTTCCAGACATCAGCGATGGGTATATGGCTTTTTATACGAAGGACGTTCGGGGGGGGGGGCATTTTTGTAAAACTCATACGGGATACAGTCTATGCCTGGGGACTTAACGTTCTTTGCTATTCTTAAAACGTCCTCAAGTTCTCTCAAAGGGTTTGTCCAAAAAGTCATTTATAGCATACGGCAGGGCATATTGGAATTTCTTTTCAGTTGGTGAGTGGTACAGCGATTTGAAGTGATTTTGCAATACTTCCATTTCAATCATTTTAGCGACCATAAAGTTTTGTTTTTTGAATGTGTTAACAACATCCCAGAACTCTTTACTCTCTCTACTTTTATTTATTGTATATATTAGATCACTAATATATTTTTCTTTATTTATTTTACAGAATTTTTTAAATTCTTTGTTGCGCTCTATGTAATCGATTTTATCATTCGAGTAATTAGTTTTTTTTATACTTTTACGCTTTCTGAGATGCGGTTCTAGATTTATCTTATTTGATCAGCCCAATTAGGATTGTATGCCTGTTTTCTTCTTTGGAGTTTCCCAGTCTCCTTACAAAATCTAAATCATCTGGTGTGATATTCAAGTCTTTTTTTTCGTTTATTATGTTGCATACAAAAAATTCTAGTTCATTTAAATTTACAAATGTATGCGATAATCCAAAAAGGATTATATTTTTTTTCTTATTTCTCTTTCCAGGGCGCATACTCGCTCATCGACATATTTCATTTTTTTAATATGTTCCTTAATATCTGCAACCATTTTGTTTCTATTTAACTCCATTTCTTTACACAAATCAGCTCTCAGCAGTTTCAACTGTTCCATAATCTCCATATTAAATAAATATAGGAATTGAGTGTTCTGCCACACTTCCATTTTTATTTTAAAAAAAAGTTAACTCTCCCACTATATCTTGGCTTGTTCGACCGTTAAGTATTATTAAATTAAAATCACGGAGCAAGTCCATTAATTTTTTACCATTATGGTTTATTGCCTTGTCCTTAGATGTTCTACATAAGTTTTCTATATTTACCAAGTACATTGACAATTCAGCTGAAATTTTTTGCAACTCACCCACTCTTGCATTGAAATCTCCAATCAAACAGAAGTTTAAGTTATTATTAACATTTAAGACTTGTACAGCATATAAGAGTCATTTTCCGAATTATTACAATTAAGGTACACCGGAACAACATACAAAAACAAGGTTTTACCCAGTTTAATCTTGATCATGTTGTATTCCGAAGCACAGATGTGTACGGCTACACCCGCGGTCACTAATGTCGACTTGATCGCGAAGATACAGCCTCGGGACACACTTCCCATCCGGCTGAGTGCCGATCTCTTTGCAGGAATCCATATTATTGTGCGATTCAGGAACCAGTTGCGGACACGCTGGTAATCCTTTTCTTCAATGATGTTTCAAACAATAGAAAGACGTCAAATTTTGTGGCATTATTTTGCAAATCGAATTCGCAGTTTCCGTTTTCATTCCATGTAAGTTATAAGCCAGGTTATCCAGCAGTCTGTGTTTTAGCTGCTATCTTGCCCCTCCAAGGTCATAGCTTGTGGAGTTCGACTTGCGTGACAGTTGCTCGTTCTCTCGTGGTCCTAACTCATAAACAAATCGTTTGAGAGGCTCTTTAATACTCGCACTATCTTCTGACTTAACTCGTTTTCCTGTGTCGTCTCTGGTGCCCTTCGATAGGGAAACTTTTTCCGGTGGAGAGTTCATAGGGCGTTTATATCCTCCTTAAAGCTGCTGTCTACGTGATTCCTTAGTTGTTTCTGATATTGGCTCTCTAATTATTACCGGATTACCGCATATTTGCCGTCTGCCCGTTCTTTTAAAAGTTGGGGGCGCAGCATTTTTTTTCCCGTACCTGCTTTGGGTAATCTTCAGAAATAACAATATTGGTTTCTTTCGATTTAGCCGACTGCCTTAGGGATCACTATTTTTGTTTTGTATTTGATCAGCCCAATTAGGATTGTTTGCCTGTTTTCCTCTTTGGAGTTTCCCAGTCTCCTTAGAAAATCTAAATCATCTGGTGTGATATTCAAGTCTATTTTTTCATTTATTATGTTGCATACAAAAAATTCTAGTTCATTTAAATTTATAAATGTATGCGATAATCCAAAAAGGATTATGTTTTTCTTTCTTATTTCTCTTTTCAGGGTGTATACTCGCTCATCGAAATAGTTCATTTTTTTCTATTTCATTTGTATGTTCCTTAATATCTGCAACCATTTTGTTTCTATTTAACTCCATTTCTTTACACAAATCAGCTCTCAGCAGTTTCAACTGTTCCATAATCTCCATATTAAATAAATATAGGAATTGAGTGTGGCAGAATGTTTTCAAATCATTGTTTCCTCACCAGCGTTTTTTTTAATCAATCTGGGTCGTTGATGACTAATACTGCAAAAATTGTAAATACCCAGATACTAGCAACAATAATAGAAAAATGCCAAGGAACGGATCTCCTCACTATTTCTTGTAGAATTTATTCTAATATCCAATTTTGCAATTACTAATAATCATTAATGACTTCTTCCTATCTCGATACCGCTTTAATTATTCACTGCTACTATTTAATTCGTGTCCAACAGTTTCCACTCCCGTAGGAAACAGTGAGCACCGATTTAAATCAAATTAATGCAGAGCTCAAATTAGCGTGACCGTCCTGGACAGGAGTTCAAAGTCAACTCCTCGAAAAATTGTTAAAGTACACGGCAAAACTGTTATTACATATCATCTTCCAAATATAGGCTTTATTTTGTTTTGGGAACGACTTTATTAAATTGATTATGTCTTTTGAAAGTATTGCTTTAAAAGGTGAACCAAAATTGTCTGCTAATTTATATATCTTAGGTTCGGATGGTTCAAATTCTACTTGGGAGAATATGATTTGATTTTTTCCACGATTCACTGGCGTGTCAACTATCGGCACCGAGATTATCGTATTGCTATCAAAATCGGAATGTATCGTATCGCGGTCGTTTGATAGTTCATTTTCATTGAATTTTGCTATTAGCGATTCGTTATCGATTTCATTTACATTATTTTGATCCCCTGGTTCACGTCTTGTAGGTCGCTTCCGGGGCACTGTAGATAGTCATTCGCGAAGTCAGGATATAGCGATGCTTGTTGTAGGAGTTCCTCGAGTTCTTTGTCGCTACAATTCTCTTCGTCCATGGTTTCATTTGCGTTTATCTCGACACGCGATAATCCATCGGCAACAGCATCCTCTGAACCATTTTCATAAATTAATTCGTAATCGAGCTCTTCGAGTTTTAGCCGCCAACGTAATAATTGTGAATTTGGTTCCTTTAATGACATCAACAATTTGAGGGGTTTACGATCACAACATATCGTCAATTTTTTTCCGAATAGATAGGTTCTGAAATACTTCGAAGATCAGACAATGGCTAAAAGTTCTTTTTCAATTACAAATAAACTTGTCTCGGTATCATTGAGCGTACGACTTGCATAAGATTCTGGAAGATCAGCACCATTGGTTTCTTGGTTCAGAACTGCACCGATGGCGCAGTTACTCGCGTCTGTAGTTAATATGAATTGCTTAGTGAACTCAGAGAATTGTCGTTCGTCAATATTTGTCGACATGAGCGGAATGCGTTTATACAATCTGAATCATAAACATATCCAATCCCGTTTTTTTTAAAAACAATTATGTAGTCAAAGATTTTGTTAACTGGGCAAAAATTGGAAAGAATTTAAGGTAATAACCGAAGATACCGAGAAAATTCTTTATTTGTTTCACAGAATTGGGTAGTTTGGTATTGCTCTTACCTTTTGTAAATTTGGTTTTATACCATTTTCTGTTATTGTGTGGCCCAAATATGCAATTTCTTGTTTTAAAAATTCCGTCTTTAATATCATTAATCTATTTAAAACATTGTTTGAATACATCGTTATTTATGTATTTATTTAGAAGTCGTGAGATGCGGTCTGGTGTGATGTAGGTTTCAGAAAAACATTTTCTTTATCGTGCCAACGTTTCGATCTTTATTGAGATCATCTTCAGTTCTTCTCAATAAAGATCGAAACGTTGGCATGATAAAGAAAATGTTTTTCTGAAACCTACATCACACCAGACCGCATCTCACGATTTCTAAGTAAGTATCGATTGACGGTCACTAATCACCACACGTTATTTATGTAGAAGGATTTATATAAGTAATTTATTAATTACCAATTTGTTTAAGCCGTAGGTTTATTGTTATTAAAATAAAAAAAATGAAATAAACCAGTTGAACTCTTAAATAAACAACATAAAGGAAAACGAAAAAATCGCTAGGAATGCTTCACGGGAATGTTGAGAACATGTGCTTGACAATTTGACTGGGAAACATAAACAGCGCTTTCGGGAAGATAATTTTCTCGCATTACAATACGAAGGAGAAATACGTTGAGAAGGGAAAGACGTTTAACTAAGTTTTTAAATTGAGAACAACGACTCGCACAAAACAAATTGATTGTTTATGTTCCGGGAGTGCTGGGTTGGCTGGCTTGGGTTGTCTACAGGGGGTGCTCCACATGCAAAGGGCAAATGGTCCCATGGAAGGGGGGAGGATGTGGACTTTTCCAGGGCATGTTTTGCCGTGTAAGGTTTTTATCCACATCCTCCTAATGCTGCCGAAATTAGGAGTACCCGTATGAGAAGCGGGTGTATGGGGTAGTGCCCTTTGGAGGTAGCCCGAGACGGTTGGCTTTGACACCACAAAAAAAAATTCAGTCTTGTCGAAATGTATTTTAAAATTTGTCTGCCTTAGTCTTCTAAATACTCCTTTTAATGTTTAAATGTGTTCCTGAAGACTCATAATAAAAATAATTATATCGTCGAGGTAAACCATACCATTGGTTATACCTCCAGGATATTGCCCAGTATCTATATATTGACTTCTTTCAATCAATTCATTATTCTTTTAACTCAACCAAGACCTGAGAAAGAATAATTAATTGATTGAATAAAGTAACTTAGTCAACTGGTAGAGTAGCGGCGTATTTAGCCGAAGGTCGTGGGTTCGAATCCCGCTCGTGACACTGACTTTTTTCTCAACTAAGACCTTAGAAAGAATAATTAATTGATTGAATGAAGTAACTTAGTCAATTGGTAGAGTAGCGTCGTATTTAGCCGAAGGTAGTGGGTTCGAATCCCGCTCGTGACGCTGAGTTTTTTTTATCTCAACCAATACCTTAGAAAGAATAATTAATTGATTGAAATCAGAATTTATATTACCATTATAACTCCTTTCATAAATTTAATACTTCTCTCGTTATTAGCAAATTCATATTATAGGGTTTGCATTAATACATTAAGATTGTTTTCTTTTGGAGACATCATACCTCCTTCCATAGGAGGTATTTCATAGGAAACCGGCTTCTATACTAGAGTTGTGGATATCCTAAATTTTGTCGAGTTCTGATTCGTACAACCATGGACCTACGTTATTGAAAAATTTTTGTTTCAGCAAAAAATATCACAACTGTACAGAAGACGAAAGTGTTTAGGATTTTTTAAGTTGTGAAATTTGTTTCACCTAATGTTTGATTTAAATAAGTAGTGTTCAATTACAGTACAAAGAAACGGAGTCTCATCGCTATTACATCGTTTTAACCATGATTATTTCAAGGGCAGTTCAACACATAGTTTTTGCATTGTTTCTCCCAAATAGGCCATCTGTCGAATTTATATTTTTTGTAGATGAAATATGCGCAGTGGAACGTCGGTAGAACGTCATCTCTTTGACTAATCACTGTCGGAGAAAACAACCATTTGTGAACAATAATTCTTTCAAAGTATTTTCTTGGCTCGATACTTACACGAGCAATCCATTCGGCAGAAGTTCCACAGACCGCACATATAGTCAGATACCTAAATGAATAAAATTAAGTAAAAACTTTTTGTAGCATATTAAAACAATGGAATATAAGTTATACCCCGAAAAGGCCGTAGTAATGTGTTAAGGATAATATTTCAAGATTCGCTTTGTAGTCGGAGTCAAATCCACTTGCATCTTCTGCTATGCAAACCCCTTAAACACAATATCAATGCGTGGTCACAATGAAACAAAAATCATTAAATATTAAATCATGTACGCTTATATGTGGAAAAATTCCAGACGGAACATTTTTGAGGAATTTGGAGGTTACCTAAAATGATGGGGGGTTTTAGAATCTTTTCGGTTATTCATAAACGTTGATAGCTTTTCCTATATTTTTTATTGCATTCGACAAAACAAATGCTACAAAATGATGTTTTTACATAGTTTTGGGAAAGTAGAACGGCTAAATAAAAATTTAAGATAATATCAAGGTGAGAAAATGTAGATACGCCGAATAAAATGAAAATGTAGAAAACTTACAATCCGATACTTTTTCTGGCGTTGTGATTTTTCACCTCCTCCGCAAATTGACATTTTGTGTATTTCTTAAATTCCGCTGTGATAGCAAGATCGGCAAGAATAATAACAATACACTTGATGTAGACCCTGGAACGAATCAGATTTTTGGAACATTTTTGAGGAATTTGGAGGTTACCGTTCATTTTAGTCTGTCTATCCTAACTTATGTGGTCTCATGGCATTTCGCCTTATTCAATGTTGGGTCTTACAAAGGGGCGACTAGGTTGGTGTGTCACGGATTTGGACCAAACCTTTTTTGGTGATTCTACACTGCAAAATATCGGACACGTATCGTCCACTTGTATTTTACGGCATTTTTTATAAGTTGATGGCCATAAAAATATAGAAAACATTATGAAAGTTTATCAATAACCAAAAATTGTTCAGGTAACCTACGTCATATATTTTTTCTTAAAATAAATAAGAAATTTTGTTTTAGTATCTCTACAGACCCAAAAATATAAATTTTTCTTTGAATTTAAGTTTATTTATTTTTTAACCTCTAAAATTTTTCCGATTTTTAAGAAGTCGTTATCGGAATCTGATTAAAACGGCTATGACTAAAAAACGGCTAAAAAGATTTTAACGTCTATCATACGATTTAAAAGAAGAGGAACGTATCTTTTTAAATGCACTTCTGCGATAAAACTATATAAAACATTTCTGTAAGAAAATACACAAAATAGGGAAATTATTTGTTAGAAATCGACCTCCTTTTATTAAGTGGAAATAAAAGTCCGATTTTAATGTTTGATACAGATATAAAATGCACTTGACAATTTCTTTGTAATTCTTCAATATTTTGGGGGGTTTTAGAATCTTTTCGGCTATTCATAAACGTTGATAGCTTTTCCTATATTTTTTATTGCATTCGACAAAACAAATGCTACAAAATGATGTTTTTACGTAGAACGGCGAAATAAAAATTTAAAATAATATCAAGTTGACAAAATCTAGATACACCGAATAAAAAACTATCAATGTGCACGTTTAAAGTTCCGTTGGGCCACATGGACGCAACTGCGGGACAAATGGTCATGGCGTTTAGCTTTTAAACTTTATCTACTAGCGGTCCCTGTTCGGGCACCAGTTAAGTAATCACTAGAGGAACACTTAAAAAAATAATTAAAAAAAAAAATAAACTACTTGTCAAAATCGTACAGTGTTTATGTTTAAACCGACAGAGTGAGGGACAGAAGACTATCGCACAAGTAACTCCTGGATATTTGAGAATTAGGATTTTTATACTATTTTAAAGAAATGCTGATTAAGGTGATGAGAAAAACCTAAAACTTTCCAACATTTCGGAGAGAGGAATTTTGATTTTCGCGAACATAAACGTAAAATAAGATGTTCGTTGATCGACGTGCAGATAATCTATTGGGTTGTCCGGAAAATAATGCAGGATTTTGGTATTAAACAAAAAAAAAGAAACTAGTTACTTTAAAGCAATGTTCTTTAATCAAAATAATTNGAGTAATCCTGTAAACGTAAACAGAATATTTTATATAGATTTTTTTTAATGAAAACTTAAAATCCTGCATTATTTTCCGGACAACCCAATACGTAGGGTTCCAATCTTCGTAGAGGTGATTAGGCGGATGAAAACAAGACTAAATGCTGGATTCACCGAGCTTTCGGCAAATTTATAGTGATTATATGAAAAACTATTTTACACGGATTGGGTTTATTGCTATGGAGCACATGGCCAGCCTAAGACATTTTGGCGGTGAAATACACAACTATATAAAAATTATAAGTAATTACTTAAATTCACTATTTTCGTGGTCCGCTTGACCAATTAATACTTTACAAGACATTACTAATTTTTGCCCAACACTGGGTAAAACAAAGCAAAAAATCAATGTTAGAATGAACCAGCACAGATTAGATTGCGTGCCCCAAAATGAGACCGGTAGAGAGCGCACAATTGAGGCGTTACTAGGCTTCGTCTTTCGTAACCTTCACTAGTCATAGCAGTCCAACCGGACGCGTCGGGGTTCGTCGCTCTCTTTCTTTAATTTTTATTCCAGTGTACATAGTTCTGTAAATCGCTGTAATTTAGTTTAAATATAAAAAAACAAACAGTTTTTGTAAATATTCGAGTGATCACAAAAGTTCCTGAAAGGAATTGCTACTCAGAACATAGAAGAAGTTGGACCTTTAGTTATACGGTTTTTTTAGCAAGGTATTTTTGACTTTATTATAGTTTATTAGTTATTTTAGTCAATTTTAAATATTATGTGATAGTGATTGTTTATAATTTTTATATAGATGTCTGTTTCACCGTCAAAATGTATTAGGCTGTCCATGTGCTCCATAGCCATAACCCCAATTATTTGTACAATAGTTTTTCATATTAATTGTTTCTTCATTCTTGGGAAAGTAATTATACCGTTTCATTGCATTAATATTTAATTGTATTTTTTTTTAATTTGTAATAAAATAGGCCCTGATGATGGCACTATAAATTGACGAAAGCTCGGTGAAACCAGCATTTATGGAAATGAATGGTAGAGTGAGTGCGGTGTTCAATTCTTTTTAAAAAGATAGTTTCTACTCGCAAGTAAGTTGTTTTCAACGAACCAGGTTTCGACCTTTTAGCTCATACTGAGGTTGAAGGAGTAACTTTCCCTTTTTCCCTCGTCAATTTTTCAGAAACAACGCAAAATCCAAATTGCGAGAATGAAGTCGAGCCAATATTGTCAATCCTCGATGAAAGTGAAGCCGGAAAATCACGCAACCTTATTTATTAGGAGGACCATGAAGGAAGTGTGGAGAACAGTCAACCAGACAAACTCAATACTAGTAGTATGAAATGGGAGGTGTCTGGGATTGTTACTCATGACTCAAAAACATGTAATTCACGACCTTGTTTTTATTTAGGACACTTTTTCTCATATATCTCGTAGACGGCTCGATGGATTTTTTTTTACTTCTAACGTTTTTACATTAGTTTTGAACCGATCTAAATGGTAAACATCAATATCTCACTAGCACTCTCAACTCGACAGACTAGAACGACACATCTACACGGAAACCAAACTTTGATTGAATCCAAAAAAATTTCTGGCCTCGTACAAATTCATTTTTTTAATCTAAAATTTTCTAGCATTGTATAAATTCATTTTTTTATCTGAAATTTTCTAGCATTGTATAAATTCATTTTTTTACACATCGTACATATATTTATAAAATTTAAACAATGTTTATTAATCCCATGTTCTGAAGATGATCTCAATAAAGATCGAAACGTTGGCACGATAAAGAAAATGTTTTTCTAAAACCTACGTAACACCAGACCGCATCTCACGATCTCCGAATAATCATTGGCTAACGGTAACTAAACATCACATATTCCTAAATGGTAAAGCATTCAGAAAAAAATTTAAGAGTTTTACTCCGCTATTTCTCTTATATCCCCTAGACGGCTCGATGGATTTTCTTAGTTCCAACGTTTTTCTGTTAGTTTTGGACCGCACTAGATGGGAAACAAGTAAAACCCGAGTTTTCCTCCGCTTTTTCTCTTGTTTCGAATGTGATTCAGACTGAAAAATTTTCCACGGCTAACGTTTATTACCCAATTAAGTCATTTATAATGGCTTCTCGACAATTTCCAATTCTTATATTTTAAGGGTTTTGATTGAGGAAAACATAATAAAAAATTGATCTACAGCATGTAGTTTTAAACTTATTTTCTCAATTCCGCTGCTAACCGTACGAGCAAAAACCCCGTCAAATCCTTGCATTCTGAGAACGTTTCCGTTTCCGAAAACATTTCATTTTGTACCAATTTTTAATTGAATCGTTTTTAAACTTTCTTAGGGCCCTACATTTCGTATTACGTCATGCCATAATTTTCCAGTTTATTTCTGGAAAACTGCTCCGACGATTTTTAGCGTACCAAGGTTTTCAACGCAGGTGCGACCGCAATTAGCGTTATACATCAATATAAAAATTGGGAAATTTGCTCGGATGTTTGATATATTCGGTATTCCAGTATTATCAATAGCTGTCGTGGTTGATATAATTTTCAAAAAGGCCGAACTTAAGCTTTTCCAGTCGTGAGAGTTATTTCTTTTGGTTTCGAAAAGATGTAATTTACTCCTTAGAATATAAGAATCGGTTGCCTTAATAGGGTAAGCATTCCAAAGGAAGAACTAAATCAATATTTTTCTCGTTTGTACCAAAAGCCTTAATTAAAAAAAATTGGAGAAGTGTAAACGTTTGAGGTAATTGCATTTTCTATTTTGATATCAATTTAGTTCATTTAAACGTTTGGTCACTAAAATGATTTTTGTGTTGAATTCAATTTCTTTTCTTTTCTCAAATGGATCTGAACGCCTGACAGACAGCCTCGGCTATTGTCATTTTTGATATTTTATTATTACTTTTGTATTTGTTTATAATTATGAAAATAAAAGTATCTATCTTTTTATTAATATAAGAGGAGCGGAGTAAAACTCAAAAAATCTTTTTGGCCAGTTTCCTATTTAGTTCGGTTGAAAACTAACAGACAAAAGTTAGAAGTAAGTATGAAATTCGAACGAGCCGTTTAAGATAATACAGTGGCATGGAGACCGCCACAACGTCATCGGAGACCCTACGTGGCGGGAACGCTTGTGTCGGTTTTCCCCTCTATCTGGGCCCCAGCTGACAATACAATACTTGCCACCACGTGGTCCTATGAGACGAAAAGCGAAGAAAAACGCATAAATTTTTTTTGACTAGTATCCCATCTAGTTCAGTTCAAAACTAACAGAAAAACGTTGGAAGTAAGAAAATCCATCAAGCCGTCTACGAGATATAAGTGGAAAAGCGGAGGAAAACTAGGAAATTTTTTTTGGCTTATTTCTCTTCTAGTACGATGCAGAACTAACAGAAAAATGTTGGAAGTAAGAAAATCCAGCGAGAGGAAGCTAGAATGCAAAAGTCAGAACATAATGCACATTATTTTGAGATTGATAAAAATGTGTAGAGATTAGTGACCGTTAATCGATAGTTATTCAGATATCGTGAGATGCGGTCGGGTGTGATGTAGGTTTCAGAAAAACATTTTCTTTATCATGCCAACGTTTCGATCTTTTATTGAGATCAATCTTCAGGGCCTGGGATTGACAAACAATGTTTACATTTAACAATTACATTTAGGATGTGGAAAAGTGAATTTATACAATGCAAAATATATTTTATATTCCAACAAAGTATTTCTACTCACTCAAAGTGTTTGTCTTCTGTGTAATTGTGCCATCCTTGCGTGTCGTGTTGAGTGATCGATTGTTGATATACCAAAGTCGAGCAAAGGAATAGAAATCGTTGACAAAATAATTGATTTTATAACACATCACCCACTACCTACGCAAATTGTAGTAGACAACGGGCTTGGATTCAACAATGCCTTATTTAAAGAAATTTTAGAATTGTATAAAATAAACCTACTTTTTCTTTCAACTCAACACCCTCAACACACATAGACGTATTTTCAATAGTCAAGATAAATTTCAACTTGAAACAGAACAAACTTCTTTCAAAATGACACAGAAAATCAATTAATTAATAACTACATTGAAAACCGTAAAGAACGAACCAAATTGCTGTACAATACAATTAAAGAATCTATAAATGAAAATAAAGACAAAGTACTAAAACGAATAAATGCCAACAGAAAGGAATTACCTTACATCTCAAAAAAGGTCTATGTACAAAACAAAACAAAGAAAAACACAAACCCGAAAAATTATAAAACTGCTGAAATAATATCCCGAATTTTCGGTTGAAACGCGTGGTTCCTTTTCATGTGATATTGCGATAAAGAACGAAATATTTCGTGAATTTTCCGACGTCAGATTTTTCTTAGTCGATGATCCTGTATTGAATGTCTCGATTTTGCTTGGGCGAGAATTTTTGAAAAACGCGGAGATTATTGTTAAAAATACTAAGATTATTTTTGGGCCAGAAGAAAAAATTCCCCAAGTATTTTCATTTAATACGCAAATTCAAGAACTAGACGTTGGTATAATGGACATCATTTGTGGAAGAACTAAAGTATAGTTACAAGCCGGATAAAATCAAAGATGGTGTCGTTAAAATGAGAATAATTTTATCCGATGAGAATCCTGTTTTTTCACATCCTCGACGACTTTCAATAGCAGAAATGGCAGATGTTAATGCTCAAATCGCGGAATGGCTAGATAACAATATTATAGAACATAGTGATTCGGAATTTGCAAGCCCACTCGTGCTGGTTCCGAAAAAGGGTGGATCAAGAAGAATTTGCGTCTATTTCCGACATCTCAACAAAAAGACCGCCACCCTATGCCCCTTATCGATGATCAATTAGACCAGTTACGGGGAGCTACAATTTTTAAATCGATTGATTTGATTTTTTCATGTACCAGTAGACGAAAAAAGCTGCAAATACACAGCGTTGTTTCCCCAGCTGGACATTATCAGTATTTACGAGCCCCGTTTGGATTGTGTAATTCGTTTTTTTTCTTTTTTATTTGTAAAGTAAACGTTATTTAACATTTCTGTCATATACAGTTTCGTTAACTTTACAGCACTACAATATAACATGACACTCGCTATGAGGGCTCAGCCCATTGGCGGTCCTCAGAATTTGTATTCATAATAAATAGTGATCAAACAATACGATAAACTGTTTTATTTTTAATTTTTATTTATTTTTTATTTTGTAACGTTCATGACAATCTGCCAATGCAGCACTGAAAATGGTGTGTTTCGTCACTCCTGTTGAACTTCATACCGTAGGGAATCGCTGTGATGTTTCCGTTTTAGTCTTCGCTGCTGTCTTGGAAGGGGTATATTATTGGCTGCTGCTCTTGCGGTCGGGTTTTCATGCGTGCACATTAAATCGTGGAGTTTTTGATAGCGTTCTTTTATGATATCAGCAACTGATGGTATTTCAAGATCTTTGTGCAGTATGGCATTTCTTACATACCAGGGGGCGACGGTTATTATGCGGAGCAGTCGACTTTGAATAGTTTGTATCCTTTGGATTTGAGTCCGTGACGCAGAACCCCCAGATCTCACATTGGCCCATACTGGGCGTATAACTACAATATAGCGCTTTAAGTGTAGTGGTAGTTTTGAATTTTCAGAAATAATTACTTTTAAATTAAATAATTTACTTTAATTGCTTTATCCGATATCTAATTTTTTTTATTGTTTGATCAATATGCGAGATCCACGTCAGCTGCTCATCAAGGGTTATTCCTAAGTATTTTTCTATTGGTGCAGAAGGGATGCTTTGGCCGTTGATTTCTATCGGGATAACCGTTACCTTTCTTTTTAATGTAAACTTAACCAGTCTAGATTTGCTGACATTTAATTTCATTCGCCAGTCCTTGCACCATTTTTCCACCATTATTGCATGCGATTTAATGTTTTCTGCTGTGCTTTGGCATGTACCTTTATTTCGGATCGCAACATCATCAGAAAATTGTGCCAGTGTGTTATTAGTTTTCATGGGAAAATTAGAGGAGTATATCAGGTATAGGTAAGACCCAATGCAGCTACCTTGTGGTATTCTAGCTCCAATATTAGCGGCAGAGGATGATGCGTTTCCACATTTGACGGCAAAAGTACGATTTGATAGGTATTACTGAACTATCCTGTACAGCAGGGGTGCTCAAACTTGAACTGCTGGCGATCTACCTCAATATTTTTAGACTACTTACGATCGACTCTGAGAGGCTGCAAGTGTGTGTGATGCAGGGTTGTCGTACATACACGATACACCCTACCTACCTAGGTAGGGTGTACCGTAGCATATATAGATATTAGCTTTCTGCACAATATAGGTACATTATTTTAGTCAAGGTTTGGGTTAGGTTTAGTTAGGTTCTTCTCTACAATATCAATGAAAAAACTCATAGTTATTCAAAATTGCGAGTTTATTGGTTGTTACAAAACAAAAGAGTTACATATGGTGTTAAACTTAACTAAGGAGTGGCTTTGGATGTTGAAGCGTGGCACTGCATGTCCTCAGCATACTTTTCATAAGATGGTACGTAACCACTGAGTGCTAATCGCAAGCATGATGACATATGATCGTCAGTTAGTCGATTGCGATATTTTGACTTAATTATCTTCATTTCAGAAAATGCAGACTCGCACAAGTAAGTTGACCCAAAAAATGCCGTCAGTTGAAGGGCGATTTGCCTTACATTCGGATATTTATCTTCAGATATAAAACACCAGAAATTTGTATCAGATGCTGTAGCTTTGAGATGTATATCTGATATAATCTGCACCAACTCATTTTCAACAGAACATGAGTTCATATTAAACTGACTTGCTATTTCAGTAGCTAATTCCTCAATGTTTTTACATGAAAAATGATAACTCATAAATGATGCTATATTTTCCAATTTACTGCGATCATAAAAACGCATTTCGAATTGTCCCAAAATATTTGATAATTCAGCCTCATACGTATCATAATTCAACTGAGGAATCCTTGCTTTCAAAGACGGAAAATGTTTCAGATCCTTTCTTTTCAGTTGATCTATCATAAGTTGCAATTTACTTTTGAATGCGTTTACTGCGCTAATCATCTCAATAATAGTTTTTCCTTTACCTTGAAGCTCCAAGTTAACGGTGTTTAAGTGCATTGTGATGTCAGTCAAAAATGCCAAATCAGTCAGCCATTTTTCGTTTTTCAAAATCTGAGTGTCATCACCTCTTTCGTCTAGAAAAGCTGTTATTTCGGGCAATAATTCTTGAAACCTTTCTAGGAATTTTCCGCGACTCAACCACCTGACGTCCGTGTGAAGAACTAAATCAGTGTGTTCAGCTGACTCCCTATCTTCCAACTGCAACTGAAAGAGCCGCCGTTGCAAGCTACGTGCACGGATGGAATTCACAATTTTTGTTGCAATGCCCATAATTTCCTCCGTGTTTAAAACTTTTGAACACAAAACTTGTTGATGTATAATGCAATGGAATGAAAAAAATGAAGGGAATTCTTCATTAGCTCGACACAATGCCACAAAACCGTTTTTGTTTCCAGTCATTGCTGGTGCTCCATCGGTTGTAATGCACACTAATTTATATATTGGTAGCTCGTAGTTTTTTACAAAATTGAAGAAAACGTCATATATATCTTCGCCACGGGTCTTCCCCTTCAGAGGAATGATTGTCAAAAATTCTTCCTTAGCCAACATGTCATTGAATACCATCCGAATAAAAATACACAGCTGGGCAGTGTCTGTCATATCGGTGGATTCGTCGAACTGTAAAGAAAAGTATGTACATTCCATGATATCATGTTTTAGTTTATCTGCGATGTCCTGACTCATGACTTCAATACGCCTTGTGACAGTCGGACGAGATAACTGAAGTTCTCTAATAGCAGACATGATTTCTGTTTTATTTTTAAAATCTCCAAATAAAGTCTCACCCGCTTCAATAAATGCTTCCTTCACCACCGATCCATCTTCGAATGGTTTCTTGCGTTTCGCCAATATATGAGATATTTTAAATGACGCGATCGTAGCAGCTTTTGATTGTTTGGCTGGTCTTGTGAACATGGATTGTTCTTTTTTCAAACAAGATATCAAATCACTTACTTTTCGTTTTCTTAATTCACTCTGTGGCGGAAAATCCTTTTCATAGTTTTTATGAACCGTTTTATGATGCCTCTCTAAGTTACCACGCTTAGGTATTGCAACTGACGCACGACAAATAACACAAATGCACTTATCCTTCACCATACAAAAGAAAAATTCTTCCTCCCAATCCTTATTAAAATGATACGTTCTAGATTTCACTGCACTCATTTTCCACTATTTAATAATAAACTTTGTATCGACGTAGTATCGCCATCAAGTTACAATTCAGAATGACTCCAATTCCTGCAGGCACAACATTTATATCGGCGTGAACGAAAGTCTCGAATGTTCCCGTCAAACGCGCCGCCCGAAACTAGACTGTACTGTCTCTCGTTGTTTCTAGACTAGACTGTACTGTCTACTAGTCTAGAAACAACGCGGCTTTTCTTTGACAAGTGCCGCGCGTTCCTTTGATAAAGCCACCTTTTGCCGCAAGCAGTGTTATTTTATTACGTAATACATTTTTGTAGTTTAGTTACCTACCTACTTATTAAAAAATTTTTTCTTCTCGAGATTTACTCAAAAAGCACTCGCGATCGACTGGTCGATCGCGATCGACCGTTTGAGCACCCCTGCTGTACAGGGTTTCTGGAAGTTGACCTTTAATTTATTTCTTTTTTACCTCTAAAATTTTTCCGATTTTTAAGAAGTTATCGGAACATCTGATTGAAACGGCTTTAACTCAAAAATGGCTAAAAAGATTTTATATAGGAAAATTACAAGCGTACAAGCGCATTTAAAAAGATACGTTCCTGTTCTTTTAAATGGTATGTGCTTTTTCTATATTTTTATTAATGTTGGAAGAAGGGGCTATCCTTAATTGGCAGCAACGCTCCTTACTTTTGCTAGTTCGCCGGAATCTGCTCCTCCACGTTGACTCACTGACAGTAGGACGCGAAATGAAGAAAGATTAAATTAAACTAAATTAAATTAATGTGATATACATACATTGGACGATAAAGTTAATTTAATTTAAATAAGTTGAACAATAAAGTGACCTGGCCAGGGTCAATAGATTAAAGAGAGTAGTGACAGACTTATTACAAGACATTAATCAAATTACACAAAAAACTTGGTTTTAAATGTTTTTCACTGTAGTTAACAATTAAAGAAAACAAACACTTCAAATCAGTGTTATTTTTTTTTTTTTTTTTNGTGTGGCGGAGTTATGTACGTACTGGGTCGCCAATCCCAGGACGTGAGATTTTTAGTTCGTCTCAAGAACCTTCCTAGGGACGGTAACCCTAGGGTGTGTACTGTTAGTGTACTTATGTCAGTGTAAGTGTAGGTAGGGGGATGTGTAATATGTGGGTGGACGCAGTTTACCCTCATGCCCGGGAGAACAAAGTGTTATTGAAAGACGTGAGCAGCCGAAAGGAAAGGTCTGACCTGTGAACAGCAAAATGATGTGCGGCGAAGAATTGCACGCGCCTCGCCAACGCGTCTTTCCAATGAGAAGCTGATTTTTAATGCCGCTCAATTTTAAACGTTCGAAAAGCGGCAATTATAACATAAGTAGATATTATATTAGTAAATACTGTAAGAAATTAATTATAAATTAGTGATTAAAGATAAAAGATAAAAATTAAATTAGAATAATACCTTAACATTATTAACTTAAACAATTAACATAATTAATTAAATTATTTGGACCTTTAATATTATTTACGTACATATTTAAAATAGGAGGTAGATCAAAATCTATTATATTATTACTACATTTATCTCCATGTTCAATTTTACATTTTTTAATTTCAAATCTCTCAAACCATGTAGTTCCCTCCCTTTGTTCTAACACTGTTTCATTTAAATTTAAACTAAAATTGTTTTTGCTTCTTTTAGGTTGTCCTTAAATTTCGAAAATTTGTTCGATTAAGGCAAGAGTTCTTTGATTATCACTTTTTATCTCTGACTGTACAATTTATGTAATTCATTATTTAATATGGTTTTTTGGCATTTACGTTGTAAGAGAATTGAACAGTTCTTAATAATTAATTTAGCATAGAATTTTGGGGTTAGATTTAATTTCAAACATTGGTAATTGAACAAGATTGATTTGTTGATTTTTGAGCGTTAAAGTCTTAATTTATAATAACGAATTAAAAGTACTTGTTTACCACTTTGTGCCGAAATATTTATGGATAATTTAAAAAAAAAACTTTTCAAATCAAACAACAAATTAATTAAATCTGTTCATTTTTGGAAACGCTATTTAGACGATATTTATGTATAATGGTCGTGAACCTTAGATCTCAAAGAATTCCTCCCACTAATTAATTCTGTACACCGTAATATATATTTTACATTAGAAATGAATAAAGAAGGTTATTTGAAATTTTAAGACGTAAAATTGCCCATAATAAACAACCTGTTTGAAATAGACGTATAGAGAAAATCCACAACTACAGACACTGTGTTACCAGTGGATTCTTCTCACCCACGGACCCTAAAGACTGATGGTTTCATTTGGCTCATAGACCGTATGTTAAAACGTCCATTGAAACCCTTTAACTATAAAAAAGCATTAGAAACTATTAAAACCTAAGCTTAAAACAATGGATATCTAGCAATATTTATTGATAGGTTGCTAGTTAAAATAATAAAAAATTAACTTTAAAAGAAGTAACAATAGGACTCAGCCACCCCACCATAAATGAATCATTAGGTTTCCGTTGTTTGCCATACATAGGTGAACTGTCAGAAAAAGTTAGTAAAATTTTTAAACAAGAAGGTTTTAGAAGAGCTTTTAGAAGTAGGTGTTCACTTAGAAACATCCTCTCAAAACCTAAAGACAAGGTTGACAACTTGGCAAAAAGCGGGGTTTACCAATTTAGTTGTAATGATTGCGACATTAAATATAAAGGACAATGCGGTAGAGAAATAAAAACGATAGTTAAAGAACTGTTGCGTAAATCGAACAAATTTTCGGAATTTAAGGACCATCTAAAAGAAGCAAAACACAATGTCAATTCAAATTTAAATACGACAGTGTTAACATTCATTGTTTACATAAATTGTGTACATTGCTTCAACAAAGGGAGAGAACTGGATTGGTTGGAGAAATTTGAAATTAAAAAATCTAAAATTGAACATGGAGATAAATGCATTAATAATAGAAAAGATTTTGATCTATATCTTATTTTAAATATGTACATAAATAATATTAAAGGTCCAAATAATTTAATTATTTAATTTAATTTTTATTAAATGTATCATTAATTTACTAATCAACTATTAAGGTATTGTGAAATTAAATTAAAGGAAGTGAGAGGTCACTCGCCCTCACGCGAATAAAAGTTTTCCGCTTTTACGACGGTCAGAGAAAGCGTGGTCCTATTCCACCTTGGGACCCACACAGATGATCGAGCCTTGTTACAAATGTAAGCCGGTCCCCGTCTTAGCGATAAGTTTAAATAGGTAAAATAAGAACAAAATAGGGTAAACGATGAAAAGGGACAAAGGTTGTACACTGAAGGGGCGACCACCCAGACGGGAACGACGTGACAAATCTGGCAAATGTAGCTTGAAAATGGTTACTCAGGTAGACAGGTAAGAACGGCCGGAAATCCGTAGCCACGGGGGACATCGTAAATTGCGGATGCGTCAACCTTGTGCTAGACCACTGTCTTTGCCGGCCCACCCGCGGCGTGAGAACTCCCCCGACTTTTGAGTTTCCTTTCCGCCCCTACTCCGGGAGAGACTTGGTATAAAAGGGATGACTGGAATATCAAAAGTCAATTCGTTGTTCCAAACGGTCCATCTGTTGAACCAATATATTTAGTAGATTTTCTTTGCGCAGCTGAACGTCGCTGAAAGGCCATCATGTTTAGAAATTTCCGTCAGAGAAAACCGTTGCAGAACGATTGGGACGTTAAATAAATGAAGGAAATGTAGAAAAACTTACAATCTTCTAAGGTTGCTGGCATCTTGTGCTTTTTCACCTCCTCCGACAATGCACATTCTCCGAACAAGATCGATTCCGCTATGCCCGCGAAAACGGCAAAAATGACCAGAACACATTTGATGTAGTCCCTGGAAGGAATCAGTTTAAAATTAAGTAGATATCTAAATAAATGCCGTATGGATGAAATCACTTTAATCGGCATCGAGAAGTAAAATCGACATGGAAAAGGTGTGTGCTACCAAAAGGTTAGTTACTGGTTAGTCAGTAGTTGAGTTCAGACTGGTCAGTGGGCAGTGATGTATTAAATTTTAAATATGTACTACCGTTGCTGGTTGGAAAAATGGAGACGACTGTGGTAGACCTTTGTTAAATTTTTATGGAGTGAGCGAAGTTTAAAGGATGCGAGTCTGGAATCGGCTTCTATCTGGATTTTAAAACAGTTGGGAAACGTTGTTTAGAAACGTGAAGCCTTGCACTACTTACTTACGGACAAGTCAATGCTGACGAATAATGGACACTTGACGCATTTAGGTTGGTGGTAGCAGTATATCCTGGTATGGCCATATTTTTGGCATTTAGTGCACTGCGGGACGTTGTTACTTTGTCTGGGCTCTTCTATAGTTATTGTGGTGTAGATGAGATATTGTAGTTTGAAACGCTCAGAGTTATTTTTATTCTGTACAAAATCAACGAAGAACAGAGGTACGGCAGTCCGGGTGATGGGGTGCTGTACTTTTACCCTATTGACTCCAAAAACTAATTTTGAAATTTCAGTCTTTATCTCGTCGGTTGGCGTTGTGGGGTGTAGTCCTCGTATGACGATTCTAAAAATTCGTCTTATTTTAATAGGAAACAATGAAAGTCGTATTGTTTCTCGTTTAGTTATTTTACTGTATTCCTGTTACAGTCGCTGTTGTGAGTTTGTAATAACATGTCGTTGGAACGTGTGCGGCAATGGAATGTATTAGTTCCAATGATTCTTGCGGTGTTAATGCAAAATCAGTAAAGTTGTCCTTATTATTTAAAATTATTGGAGGTGGTTTCAGGGATTGAGCATTTCCTTGAGCGGCCTCGTTTGTTTGATAGGGTTTGGCAAGTTCAGATCGTTAGGTTTTTTTATGTTCTTTTAAGGAGGGTAACTTGTTTAAATTGCGAGGCTGTGTCAGAAGTGTCCGTTTCAAGGGCTCTGTCATAGCAAATCGGTGCTGAAGTTTGTGAAGAGTGCTGTGTAGTTAG